TGGCTGTAATTTGCGTTCAAACTTGCAAAAATGCTCGAAAAAACAGTGTTTTCACATTTCCTTGATTTTCTTGAAAACTATAATACATAGAATAAATGTAAAAGATGCATATGAAAGCTGAATGTTTGGGGATTGTAGCATGTATTCATATATTACTGTGGTTTTCTTCGTTTGGCTGTAATTTGCGTTCAAACTTGCAAAAATGCTCGAAAAAAACAGTGTTTTTACATTTCATTGATTTACTCGAAAACTATAATACATAGAATGAATCCAAAAGATGCATATGAAAGCTGAATGTTTGGGGAATCCAGCAAGTATGATACTTTTGAGGGAGGCGTAGTAACATCAAGTTTGGAAACCACTGCATTAAGGTGTTCGAGGGCTCTAACAATAGCCACTTTTGGTTTCCCTCTCAAATATTGGGCTAACACACTATTACGTTTGAATTCCAACGCTGATAACTTTTTTTTCAAAAAACTGAAATACAAATGCTTGTGCAGGCTTGTAAATAATAAAATCAGCTATCATTGGGCAAAATATGGACACAAAATTACCAACGATTCAAAAGTTATAGCAGTTTTAAGTTGTTTGCAGTTCAATTGGGCCACACTTATATGCTTAAGTTCAATTGAAAACAAGTTTAATAGAAATAAAACAAACAATTAGTTTTTTAATAATACTGATTTATACTGATACAAAGGGCTATTGACCATTGGTCTTTCTGCCCGGGGAAGATTTATATAATATTTTAACCTTTTGTCATCTGACGGTACTTATAAGTACCGGTACTTTTATGTTATTATTTAAATTATAAAGAAACGTGAAACACACCTAAATACTTGTTAATGTAATCTTTTATAAGCAACTTAATTTTAAATTTAAACTTATTTTATTTTTTTTATTTGAACTATGTGTAGGTAATACAGGGTAAACTCACACATTTTTCTGATTACTTTAAAACTTTAAGTATAGTTAGCCTCGGTTTACGCCCGCTCAATTTTCGTCCATTCGCAATAACGTCGCCGAGTGAATCCTACGCTGACTGAGTATATACTTTAATTAGATCTATAGCTATCTCACTTTATATATGGGTTCATTTTACGACGATTCGATTTGCGCTGTTTTTTTTATAGAAACGCAACTGCGACGTAAACCGAGGCTACCTGGAGCTTATTAATTTTATGTATATTTAGATTCATTCTTAATATAAATCAAATTATTTTGAATAATGTATTTTATATTAGTTACAAAATTCATATATTTTTTAAAATTTGCTGTTCCACGTACACATGCAGAAAATATAAATGTATACACGTGACCCGGCGGATCCACCGTAAAAAATTAATACGGCTTTTATTAATGTCAATGGCGTTTTATGGACACAAACCTGAATTTATTTCCATGAATATTTAATCATTCGCCCGATCATTATTTTTTTTTTATACGCATATATGTGTATATTATTCAAGTTTCGCCGAAAATTCAGTTTGCAACAGTAGCCAGAAATATGCAAAATCACAGTTTTCCATATTAAAGTGTATTTCCAAAAAAAAAAAAAACGTGATTGCAAACAATAAAATATTTTCCTATACTGTATAATTCGTGATTGTTACATAATAAAATGCGTTTCCTGATTTTTGTTTTGTTATTGCTGATTTTCGGTGTATATGTAAATTAATGAACGAATTGAAATTAAGAGGATTCTGTTCGAGTTTTACTATAATGATACTCAGCAACTTTAAAAAAAACTTAATTGGAATTACAAGAGTTGAAGTTAAGAAGCGGAGAATTCTCTAGTAGTTGAATCTTCGCTCTTCTAAATATATAGTGTACAAATTAAATAAATTTACATTTAATTTAAATTACTAGAATTTATTTTAACAAACAAAAACCATTAATTTCAAAAACAATTTAAATACTAAATTCATTACTTTTCATTACATTATTTCCACTTTTTTAGTTTTCTCTATTTTCATAAATAATTATTGATTTTATTCCTATACAAAAATATTTAAATAAAGTTAAAAGTTTATCAATACAAAAGATTAATATTATGTTTAAGTAAAGTAAAATTCCATTAAACTTTTCGTATTAATTAAATTTATATTTGTATTCTTTGAGATGAAGTTTCAGTGTAGGAGAAAAACCACCATTCTTCATCCAATTTCTTCCACTCTCCGGACAATTTTCTCATCACCGCTTTTAAGGTTAATAAAGCCCTTTTATCCAATGCACCAATGGACTCTTAATACCCCCAAGGCGACCACCCTTATTCCAGTTATTAGCAGCATTAAGATCTTGATTTGACCTTTTAGAACAACATAAAATTCAACCTCCAACGAAATGCAATTTTCTCTTATTACATTACCTTTATTTTTAACAAAGTTACAAAAATAAACGTTTACATACATACTCAAATATTAAATTTAATACTTTGATTACACAACTAAATCATTATTTTATAATCTTAGAAATCAATATTTTTTAAATATAATATTTACTAATCCATTAAAAATGTAATAATTTATAATTTTTCAATGATTTATATAAGATCAATGCTTGTTCTGATCAAGATTACATGACGTTTCACTTACCATCAATCTCTTCTTGCTGCGTGTTATTCAGACGCACGTAACACTCCTGTTGTTTCCTCCAGATAGTCGTCTGCACATAATCCTCCATGACGTTAACATTCGAGTCACCTTCACTCATTGTCGCGGCATTTCAGCCACAAAACAACACAACAACAAAAAGAAAACGAAATTTAAAAAACCCTCATCACCCTTTTTCTTGCCAAGACCCTTAAATCCGAACTATTTCGTTTGATCCTTGGAAATAAAAAGGAAAAAAATAAAGAAAAACGCACGCACTGTGTTGTGTCTCTGCGGCAGCTCCTGAAACAAACGAAATCAAATATAAGTGTCTGCTGGGTTCTATGTAAATTAGCTTAGTCAACTGCGTAAACAACGCGACGAAAACAAAAAAAAAGACGCAGATAACGAAACGATGGATTATATAACGTTTTTTATTTCACTCTCCAGTTCGGTGCGAAAAAAATTTAGAGCGAATGCGAAGAATCGTATAGTTTTTTTTTCTTTTGTGATTTATTGGTGAGAAAGTTTTACGTAAATTACTTTACACAATATCCATTGCTGATATTATATAATTTGTCCTTTTTTATAATTATTGTATTTATTATTTATGTTATTAATTAATATTTTTGTTTGTAATTAAAATTAATGATGTTCTTTGCTTCTTGATTGGTTAAAATCTAAGGAAAGAATCGTAATTAAATAAATTAAAAAAAAATCTCTAATTAATTTGTATTTTTTTTTAATATAAATTCATTTCCTCTGGGATATAACGAAGGAAGAAGATGAGGATGTTTCATTAATTAAGAAAATATTGAAGATGTCTGTGGAGGAGTAAAAACAAATGTTTTACAAGGATAATAACGGTCCCGGTTTCGCTGGAATCGATAGGTTCGTCTGGAGCGTTAATTAATAACGATTTCAATTAATATTAACGATTGGTTGGAGTGAAATGATATCTGCTGACGCTCCCTGGGATATTCCAAAAGCCGAAGGAGAGATTTATCTTTCGGTCCCAGGATATTCAATTTTGCACGAGACGGACGGATAAAGATAGCAGCTAGTAAAACGGAACATTCCTTCAGTAATCCTAATTCCAATTATCCAACGTGAAAACTAACGACAGAAATATCCTAATTGTGAAATATGTTTCTTTTTTCATTTTGTGATTGTCGAAAATTTAAAATTTAAGTTTACTAATTAGTATAATTGATTGAAGAATAGATGATTTTTGTTTTAACATGAAACAATTGATTGTTTTCGATTTTCCGTTGAAGTTTAAAGCACATGCAATCATTTATTACTTTTTGTTCAGTTTCTAAAAGCTCCGATTTGTTTTTCACTCCGGTATTCTTTCCCGGCAGAAGAGGGAAAAAATAGAGTTCACGGGGGCGCTTGCAAATTAAGAGCGAAGTTTCGCATTGTGTTGCACGAGCTGCGAGGGCTAAAATGAAGAAGAAAAAAAAATCAACCCTTGTCTGTACGTAAACGTACACATACCTATCTCTGACAAAACATTTTCCGCACAAAACGCTATTTTCACCACGATTTTTTTGTTCAATCTATTTACGTATTTCCACTCATCCAACTTTTTTTAACCATCCTTTACGCTTCTCGAATTTGTTAATTATTCAACTTTTAAGCGTCAAAGATATCAGTATAATAGAGGAGAACATCCGACTCTGCGAAGTTGCGTTGCGGGGATAAATTCCATTTGCAACTTGTTGAAGAGAGGATTTAACAAAAGGCCGAGAACAAAGTGTAATTCCTGAAATGAAAGAAAGAATTGAAAGTGGGGAA